TTTTTGATGCTCTTTCTCCATATTTATATATATACATATATTCATATACATATATATAGTCAAAATGAAGATAACTAGTACTTATGGTAAACATATAGTAAAATAAAACAAAACAAAGCAATGTAAAACAAAAACAAAAAGAAAATACTCAACTTTCAGGCTGTATAAAAACAGGCCTTGGGATTTTACTTGGGCTATAGTTAGGAGCTATCAATAACCACTTAATTTGTTTGCAGATATTTACTGCTGTAACTTGTGTTGCAACAAATGCATTTCTTCCTACATCCTTTGCCATTTTTACATTGGAATGGAGTCTTAGAAGTGAGTTTACTCAGTCAAAGGGTAAAGGAATATTGAGTTTGTTAGTATCATTTCTTCTCAGTGGGTCTACTCTATTTTATATCAGCAATGTATGAGAATGCTTATTAGTATTTCTTTGAACCTTGACAAAATTTTAGAGTTGTGTTACTCTGAGTAATGTTTATTGTCTTACTTTTTGTTGGAAATTTTGAGGAAATTATTTTGTTCAAGTACTGACACAGTATTATTCTTACATCTAAATCTGTGACCCATTTGGAATTTATGCAGTACTTGGTATATGGAGTGAGAAAGGCATTCAGTTTTATGTTTTCCATATTACTCACCTGGTCTCTACAAACCACTTATTGAAACATCCATCTTTTCCCAATTTATCTGAGATGTTGAATTTGAATTAACAAAAATTTCAATTATTAAATTTTAAATATTCATATATAGTTATATCTATCTCTAGATTTTATATTTGTTCCATTTGTCCTTTTGTCTGTTCAGGTGCCAGTACCACACCTAAAATATTTTTGTAGGCTTAATAAAAAGTTTTAGTATCAATTAGGCTCTTCTTTCATATTTACTCATATCTTTTAGCCTCTTCTTAACTATATAATCAAGTTTACCTTTAGGAAAATACAAATCTGATGGCATTTTATTGATACTCATTAAGTATAAAAATTAACATTGGATGTGTTGAGAACTTCATGATGTTTGTCAAGAATGTCAAGAATGTGCAATGAAAGTCTCCATATGATCAAGTTTACTTCTATGTTTTTCAGACATATTTTATAGTTTTTTCATGTGGATTTGGTTATTTGGTTGTTACTATTATTATTATTATTATAAGCAAGCTTTTGCCTTTCCATGTTGTCTTTGAATTATATTTTTATCTTATTAACATGTCCATCTTTTTACTTTATCTGTTCATAATTTTTTTGGTTTGGCTGTGTCTCTTGAATGTGTTAAATTTTGTTTTCTAAGCTAGTCCAAAAACGTTTACAGGTGTGTTAAGCCCCTGGGTTACCATTATTGATGTGACAGAAAGGTTTGACATAATTTGTGTTATACTGCTTTATTTTATGTGATGTTTATGGAGTGTGTGTATGTGTGTGCATAATATTTCTCTGTGGGCTTATTTACTGCTTCCTTTTCTCTTTCTTTTTTCATATATCTTTCAGTATTTAGGAAGGTCTGCATTTTTGGTCTGATAGTTACCTTTCTATAATGCATCTGTTTTTTTCTATTTTGGGTAGGGTCTAATGCTTCCCTAGTATGAGCAGTACAGTAATTGGCTACTGATTTTTTTTCTCTTCCACTCCCTTTCCCAGAGCATCTAGTGAAATTTGGTGCTGAAGTTAAATTGTTTTCCCTCAGTTAATACGTATAAGACAATTATCAAAATAAATCTCCTATATTTTCTGCTCTTCTCCATTTCCATCTTGATTGACTATTCCTGAAAAGGAGGAAGAGGAAAATGGCAGCATCTTTCCTCACACTTCATCCTTTCTTCCCATCGAGCCAGAGATGTGCATTGGATGGGAATGAGACCAGACTGCGGTGGGTGAAAAGGACTGGATTTGATCATATATTTCCAATAGCTTCCTTAACAACAGAGAACTATTCTGAAGGTACTTTTGACATTTACTTGAGTGTTTACTCCTGGAAAGTCGATGCCCACCACGGTAATCAGTAGACTGCTCTCTATCAGTGCCTGCAGGAAGGTGAAAAGGTGTCCTGAGAAATGAGATGAGAGCAAGTATAGTTTCCTTAGCGGTCTGGAGACCTGAGGCCTAAGGTCCGTTTCTTACAGTATCCTGTGCTCCCAGAGCTTTTCAGGAAAGCTGTAGCGTCATCACTATTCAAGGGACAGTGTAAACGTGTCAGATGAGCACATGGCTTGGAAACAGTGTGAGCTGGAGAACAAGAGGGCCCTCTCACCGTACTGTGATCTTTGCATAGCGTCGGGAGTAACGTGTGATGATGGCGGGGCAGGCCTCCTTAAGCTTGGCGGGAATTCAGTGGCCCGTCACCGACATAGTCATCTGGTTAAAGTGTCTTTTTAAAATTTACATAAAATAATAGAAAAAGAGAAGAATGGAATCAAGAGATGGATGGAGGGGAGAAAAGGAAAGGGGATAGAAAAGGAATTAAGATGTATTACATACATACATAAATTTCCCACAAGGAATATAAATATTATGTTCTGCAAACACATACTAATAAAAATGTACATTCAATGTTGTTTAGTAAAATTTTAAGTAAAATTCTTATCTCCTCCCATGTAATGTTTTCATCATATATGCAGGATATAAGGGAGTAGAAACTAAAGGCACCAAAAGAGTACATGGGCTCCAGCTAGAGGATAGAGGTACCTAGAGCCACCCCGGAAGTAGCCGTAGGAGCTGTTGGTCAGGAAAGTACATCCTAGTCGGGGAGGATTCTACTGGGCACTTTGTTGATTTGAATATGTCTCTTTCTAGGTGGGTCTTGTGGACCTCAGGATCAGATGGTTCTCTCTTTTAAGGGTTTGCTTTTGACCTCAGAGGTGCTTTCCTGAGACTTCATTTATGTCATATATTGGCTTTACTCTTCCGTGTAAAATCAGAGCACAGGCACTTGTAGAGCTGAATGAGAGAAAGGGATCTGGAAGACTGCTGTCCTCATGTCCCAGGTTTCAAAGCCACACGGGGCACAGATCTTGGAAAAAATGTTAGAATTCAGACAAGATTGGGTGTCAGTAATGACCATTTACACAAATCAAAACTATAGAAAAAAAAACCCTGCATATTATTGGGAAGATCATTTTCCTTTAAAGTTAGGGAAATGTTGGATATGGGCTGTATTTTCTATCAACCCATTTTCTTGTTTTATTGCTCAGTGACTTTATGTTTGGAGGTGAGATAAAGGCCAATAAAGTTTTACTTGTTTCCAATTTTTTGGCTGACTCTCTCTTAGTAATGTTTCTTTCCTTACACCTATTCTATTATAAAAGAAAAAACGAGGGGGAGAGAAATAACTATATAGGAGGAAGCAAGCTTTCATCATTGAAAGTAGCTTTTTTTTTTTTAAACAGCATCTATGGGGAATTTTGAACATTAGCTTCAAAAATAAGAACAAAACAAACAAAAAATTCCTGATGCCAAAGCTACGTTTAGATTTGGCTTTTCAAGATTCATGTTATGAAAGCCAGCACTAGAATAGGAAAGGCTGATTCCTGAAAAAGCGGATAGGTAAAATAATGGCCAAAAAATTTACAGGCTAGACCTACCTATAAACATTAAAATTTTTTTAAAATTTATTTTTATTAGTACATATTTGCCATACATAATGATCAAATTCATCATAGGAAATTTGTACCTGTACATAAAATTCTTCTTTCCCCCCCATTCCTCTCCTTTTCCTTCAATCTTTCTTCCCCCTCCCATTTATGGAAACGTTGTTGTTGTTGTTTGTTTGTTGTCGTACAGTTACTCTGGTTCCGAAGCTCGGTTCGTGAGCATCACCAACCAGACTCTGGGGAGGTTTCTGGAACACTTCCGTTTTTTTTTTTCTTTTTATTGAGTTTATTGATACATTTTAGGTATACATTACAGTTATATTCATTATTGGGATCTCGTACCTTTACATGACAGGGCTTGGTTCTCATTTTTTCCCCTTGTCCCTTCCCTCCCTTCACCCCCCTCCTCCCCTCCCCATTAACAAACACTTTATTTCCAATTTTTAATTTTCTCATTTTTTTCTTTTCCCTTATTCTTTTCCCCTACCCTTCCCACTTTCCCTACACCTTTAGCCCTTTTCTTCCTATTTCATATCACTTCCGTTTTTAATAGGCAGAGCAATCGCTTACATAATCACGGAGCAAGGGGGGGCACTGTATGCTGGGCATAACATGATTGGTTGATGCTCTCTTATTTCTATATAAGGTGATCTTTTGGGCGAGCTACGGAGGCAGTGAATGGGAGGAACATGACACTGTTCAGCCGGCTCTAAACCAGTCTCAGCGCAGGAGAGTGAGCATGCTCAAACTCCAGAGTATCCCCGAGCCGGCTAGGAGACGTGTGTGCAGCTCACTTGGCTCAGCCATGCTTGAATTTCTCTCACAGAAACCGTTTCCATTTTTTCCCTTTCAGTCTTTTTTTTTTTAAATTCCATTTTCCCTCCTGTCCCCCCTCCTTTGTTTCCCGTCCCATTTGAACACGTTCTTGCTACTTTCCTCTGTTTTGCTCATTTACCCTTTGAGTTGCTCACAGAAGAGAAATAGTACAATATTTAAACTTGTGTGTCTGATTCACTTCACTTAGAATGCACTTGTGGTGTATCCACTTACCTGTAAATGACTCAAGATCATCCTTCTGTATGGTAGAGTAGTACTCCATTTCATATAATTACCACAATTTCTTTTTCTATTCATCTGTTGATGGGCACAGAACTCCTAATTCTTCGTCTTATAGCTGTTGAAGATGGTGATCATTTTACTCTTATTTTTTTTACTCTTACTTTTCCCTACTGTATTCTCAAAGAGAATTTTGTGCCTTGATAACACAAAATTACAGGAGATTGGAAAGCACAAGAAAAGCAAAAGGGGTTGTAATAGAGCAAAGTGACAAATATTTTGAGGATTTTAATAAATGAGCCATATCAGCACCAGAGGGCCTTCTTGGCCACGCCCTCTCCGGCCCTTGGCGCTTTCCGCCATTTTCAGCGCCAGAGGGCCTTCTCGGCCACGCCTTCTCCTGCAGGCGGCACCTCCGTCCCTTCCGCCATCTTCAGCGCCAGAGGGTCTTTTCTGCCGCCCTCCCTGGTGGTGTTCCTGCTATCTTCAGCGCCAGAGGACCTGCTCGGCCAGGCCAGGCCCTCCCCTGCTGGCGCTGCTGCACCGCTGCCGCCATCCTCAGCACCAGAAAGGTAGCCGCGCAGGCAACCCCAACCCCCCCCACCTCTCTTCCCCCTCGCGCTTTTAGACCTCCTGATTGTACCAGTCTTTGGACCTACTCTGTAGAGGCAGAGGTGGTCATAAAGGGTATTTTCTGGCGCTTTCAACTTTGAACATCTTTAAAGAAGTGGTGGGGGAAACTTATAGTAGAACTGAGAGGAGTTCAGCCCTTTGGGAGGTCGGGGAACTCAGTCTGGGCCTTGCAGCCCGAGCTCAGTCTGCTTTGTGGGGTTCTGCCACCAGCTAGCTGAGGTCAGGGGACTCGGCTCCGCAAATGGCAGCACATATTGTATATTATGATAGCAGTGATATAGTCTCAAAGAGGCCCTTTAAACTCATTTTTGTTTCTTTTTTCTTCATTCCACTCTGCAAATTCTTTTTTTTCTTTTTCTCTTTTCTTTCTCCAACTCAGTCTGTTACTGTGCTGTAGTATCCCTCATCTCCCTTTCTGTTTCTGCTCTTGTCCAACTCACATTTCTTTCTTTATTATTTTTTTCTTTTTACTTTATGTTTTCTTATGTCATTCTGCCTCACTCAAGGGTTATTGTACTTCTATTTTGTTTGTTCGTTTTGAATTTAACAGTTTCCTGACGATTGTCTGGTCATTCTATGTCTTTTGACTTCATATGAAACCTTCTCTAATTCTTTTACTTATCTACTCCTCTTGTCTTAACTCTGTCTTATGCCCCCATTCTAAATGGTAAATATCCTTATTGAAAAGTTTATTCACTGTAAGCATACTTTGGACTGTTCTTGATTTTAATTTAATTCACATGGTTTGAAGGTGCTAGGTTGATGACTACCATAAGTGGTCAGTTTGCAAATTGTGCTTCCTTATATTGTGGTGCTGATTGTATCAATTAGGATAAAGGATTGTGATTGATTCAATGAGCTGTTTTCTTCGATATTATGAAAATGAGAATGTCTGTAAGTCATTAGAGACCCATGGGCTGCAGCCCAACTATATCAGGAAGATTTAAGTAATAACCTAAAGGTTAAACTAAGGACAACCCAACAACAATAGTAAAAATGAGAAAACGCTTAAGCAAAACACAGGAACAGACTTCCAGTTCACCAATGGCAAACAGTGGGGCAAATGAGGATGAAAAGTCTGACAGTAAATCATTAGGACACCCTGAAATCACCATAGGAAGTAACAAAACTGATCAATCAGGCTCTAGAGAAATATAAAACAGAAGTAATTTCCCAGATAATAATAGAGATGACAGGGAAAATGAAAGTTAAAATTCGTGACTCTAGAACAGAAACTTAGAGGAAATAAGATGAGCTCAGGACCATGATAGAAGCCATAAATGCCCAGCATAAGAAAGAATTGGAAACAATAAATGCCCAATACAAGAAAGAAATGAAATCCATAGGACAGACTCTAACCGATATTCAGGAGATTAAAAACTCCTTTGAGAGTGTTCACAAAAGAATAAAAGAGTCCAAAGATAGAATCTCAGATATAGAAGATAAAATTTCAGTCAGTGACCGTGGAAAGAGAGGTCTCTTAAAAACAGTAGGGGATCATGAGAAATTGATGCAACAACTCTTAGACGATACAAAGAAGAATAGCATAAGACTGATAGGAATTCAAGAAGTAGTAGGAGAAAATGCAAATGACTTTAAAAAGCTGTTCACAGAATTAATTATAGAAAACTTCCCAAACGGGAAGAATTTGACATACAGATAAGTGAGGCATATAGGACTCCAATTAGCCGTGATCAAAAAAAATCTACACCTAGACATATAATAATCAAGATCCCAGAAACCCAACAGAAGAACAAAATACCACAAGCAGTAAGAGACAAGAAACAAATTACATGCAAAGGAAAGCCCATCAGAATCACAGCAGACTTTTCAATACAAACCCTTAGGTTAAGGAGACCTGGAATGAGACATTTCAAGTACTAAAAGAAAACAACCTGCAACCTAGACTGATGTATCCTGCAAAACTTTCTTTCAAAATGGATGGGGAAATAAGATATTTCCATGATAAAGAACACCTGAGCAACTTTATGAATACCAAACCAGCACTACATTGAATTCTAAACAATATCCTAGAAAAAGACAAGGTAACAACATAGTGAGGTCCAACAGAGCAAATCAAATAGGCAAGCCAAGAATCTAAAAGGAGAAGGCGAAAAACACATGACAATAAGTTAGTACATATCAGTTAAAACCATCAATATCAATGGCCTCAATTCACCACTCAAGAGAAATAGACCGACAGAATGGATTAAGAAGCAAAATCAAATAATATGTTGTATACAAGACACGTGTAGTGCAAAAAGAAGTCCATAGACTGAAAGGACAGAAAACTTCTTCATGTAACAGGAGCCCAGAAAAAAAAGCAGGGGTAGCAACCTTATTCACAGACAAAGTAAGTTTCAAACCTAAACTGATTGAAAGAGACAAAGAAGCTCACTACATACTTGTGAAGGGAACAATTCAAGAGGAAGAGATAACAAATAATTTATTTTTAATTTATTGAGTATGTCAGAAAGTACATATGCTTTTTTTTTTCCCTCTTTTCTTCTTTTTTTCTTTTTTCTTTTTCTTCCTCCGATGCTGGGGATTAAACTCGGCACATTGTTCTGGCTAGGCAGGTGCAGCACTACCTAGCTAAATCTCAGGCTTTACATTTCATACTTAAAAAATTTTATCAACACATTAATACTTGTCTTTATATGTAGGTCCACCAAATTGATGAATTATCTTGGTTCTCATTTTCTTTGCTTTTTTATTTGAGAATTTATGAAATCTGTATATATGAGTAGTATGAAAAGTATTAAGGTCCATCTGTCATTTTCCTCTTTCATCTCTGCTTTCTACAAACTTCCTTTTCTGTCACTACAGCTTGTTTGGTTGGAAATTTTTTAAGACAAATGTTATGTTATCAATATATCTTTGTACCTATTTTCTACTGATGACAAATATTAATTTTTAAGTAAATTTTATTATAACTACACTTAAATAAACCATTAATATATAGTAGCTGGTACATATTACAAATTCTCAAACTCCCTCAAAATTGATATTTGTTTTTTCTCAAATCACACATATCACCAACATTCCACAATCACTGCACTGTTTTATTATACCAAAGTATATATTGTAGAAAATATGCATTGTGTATATGTGTGGGGGGTATGTTTTTACACATATGTGTGCACTATTAAATGAGAAACATGGTCTTGAATGTGATAGGATTGTGCACATTTGGCTTTTTGATAGTTTCTCTGGCAACCTTATGATTTCTTTACATTACATGCTTGACTTAATTCATAGTCCTTCGTTTGGGAAGAATATTACATATGTATTGGTGTTAAATTCTATCATTATGCTTATAAAAATATAATAAAAATAAGTATGGGATATAATAAAATACAAACAGAAAAATCTGATCTTAAAAATGTGAATTTTTTTAGTTGCTTTTGGATTTCAAATATAAGTATTTTTTTTCCCTGTGGAAAGTTTTGTTAGAAAATGTAAGTGGTACAATCAACAAGCATATGATATTTATCAATTAATAATACCAAGGAGTTTATAAATCACAAAATTTTGAGGACAGTTTCTCAACTATAATATGTAATTTTGTTTTATTTGTAATTACATTATTTCAAAAATACAGGAAAATGAGAAAGAACATAGCATTTGAAGGTCATATCAAACTAATAGTGTTTTGATTATTAGTCTGTTACATAAACTTTTGTTTATTTCATATCTTTTTTTGCTTTATATGTATATTTGAAATTTTTATTTAGTATCTTCATTTCTTGTTATCATGTATGTTTGCAATCTTTAATAAAAAAGTAAATATTTAAAAAAAATAAATGAGCCATAAAAATAGTATAATGAAGGAAGTGGAGGGGAAAGAAAAGTGAGTCTATAAAATAAAGTATTCCTGAACTCAACCTGTCCACTCATGGTGTTTGCAAATGGAAACACTTGATATTTTTCTTAATTTTTAAAAAAATTTAATGTAATCCCATTTACTCTATTTTTGCTTTTATTTCCTGTGCTTTTGACTTTTTTTTTTTTGTACTGGGATTGGAACTCTGGACCTTGCTCTAGCACTTGATATTTTAACATTGTTCATAATTTTTTGTTTCTAGACTGAAGTTTTTCAATCACAATACTGTCCTCCAACTGACCTTTCTGGTTGGTGCCCTGATAAGTTTGTGCTTATGTCTCTTGAAGTATAACTTGATTGATGGTCTTTTATAGTACACATGCCGAGGCCTGTTATGGAGAGTAGGTGAAATCCTGCGCATTAACTCTGACAGAGTTTGGAAGCTTTTGGAGAATTGCATTAGGAAAAAAAACCCCAAAACAAAAACAAACTATGTGGGTTATAGTGGGAAGGACACCCTGATTGACTAGATGTTTTCTAATGTGGGTATGAAATGCTGAGTTCATGTGCCATGGACTCTGCCCCAGTTACGGAAACATTCTGTCTGACTTGTAATATACAGCTGATGCAACAGAGAGGACAACTGTAAATTCAAACCTGCAAAGCTCTGAAGAAAAATATTCAAAACAAGGTTTTTGTTTTTGTTTTTGTTTTTGTTTTCTAGTGTTGGAGCTCTAACCCAGGGCCTCCAGCATGTTAGGCAGACAGTATCATTGAATTACATGCCAGCCCCTAAATAATATTAAATTTAAAATGAGTACCAGGGACTAAATTAATATAGCAATGTTTTAATATATGGACTATAATCCAGGACGAGGTTCTGGACAACAGAAGAATTGACCTGAATTTCACTATGCTGTTGGACCAAAAAGTTTTGTGAGAGCTCTGAGTATAACATAGATTAACTGAGTTCAAAAAGCCAACCAATCAGGGCCGGGGATTTAGCTCAGTGGTTCTGCCACCTGCCTTGCAAGTGCAAGGTCTCAATACTAAAAATAAATAAATAAAAAGTAAATAAATAAATGGCCAGCCAATTGCTTTGTCTTGTGAATT